AAAGTGAACGAGTGAGACACGTGATGCTGGGCTGATGTTGTGGCGTTCACTGTGACGTTCGCTGCGCCAACTAGCGGTGGGGTATCTGAAGCTGGCTTGTAACCCGAATTTTAGCTCGCAACTCAAAGCAAAAAATCGGCCGAGAGACGGCTCGTATCTCGAAAAACTCGTTAGTCAGGATACTTGTAAGTCAAGGCCCTACTGTATGTGACACCTTCCCCACACATTCTGAAGAGTCTGGGCTCCCCTGAGTACACCGCCCCCCCCCCAGCCCGGTCTCACCTGGGCTCCAGCCGCTCCTTCACCTTGGCAATCGAGCGGACGTAGGGAGTGATCTGCTTGGTGATGGTGGTCAGGCAGGCATTCTCCTGCTTCAGCTGGAGGAGGTCATGGAGCTGGGCTGAGGGGCCAAGGCCAGAGTGTTGGGTCTTATTGGCTTGAGATTCTTACCCCCCAGTTTCACGCCATCAGCATATCCCAACTAGTCCCCCCATCACTTCTTTCTCTAAAGAGTGGAGTGAGACTCGAGAGGGCCTTCTACTCACTGAGTTCTGGCCCCAGATGCGTCGTGTTGGGGCCAGTTAGCGGCTGTGAGGCAAAGTCAAGGGCTAAGGGAAGAGCATGGGGCTGCTTGGATCTGGTTAGTGGGTGACTGCCTTCCTGCCTCACTGGCACACGGGTTAGCTCCAGGACAGGGGTGCGCCCAGCAGGGCTGCCTGGGACCTTCATAAATCTCCTGCTCATCAGCCACCCGCTGGTAGGACTCCTCCCACATCTGAAAGAGAAAGTAGGGTGGACATGCGTGTGGTGTGAGTTGGGATGTCCGTTGGTGGGTTGGTGGCATTTCTGTCCTCTAGCTACTCAGAGCCGCAGGCACCCGCAGCCAGTCCATGTGGTTCCAGGCAGCAAAGACCCAGGTTCCAGAGCCTGCCACACCAGGCCTCCCGGGGCACCAGCCAATGCCCTCTTTCTCCCCCTTCCTGTCTGGGGGTGGCCCCTGTGCATGCTGAGGGGTGAGCTGCCGGGGAGCTAGGTCCTGGAAGGGGGTACCTCCTGGAAGGCTGCTCTCATCCCCTCCACGGAGGCGTACTCCGAGCCGATCTGCGCGTCCACCTGCAGGGCCTTGCGGAGAATGTCTGCCATGATCTCCGCCTTGATGAGCGAGTGGTGCTTGGTGAGGTCCCGGTGCAACTCCTGGACCTGGTCCTTCAGGCTCTGCATCTCCGCCTGCAGGTGCTGCCGGGAGATCCCATGAGCGCCTGGGGCTCTGCAGGCTTGTCTCCTCGGGGTCTCAGAGGAGAGCTGGCTTCCAGGGTGGCTGGGCCTCGATGTGGGCCCTGCGCCTCCGTGAGGAAGGGGTGGGCCTTTCCCGCCCACAGGTCCCCCAGGCCCGCTCACCCGGTAGGAGTCCTCGTAGTGGCGGCAGTGCTCCGCGAAGGGCGTGTCCTCGCCCTCCGCCAGCAGCACCTTGGTGCCGATGGACCGGTGCAGCGTGGGCTTCTGGACCGGTGACCCCAACATCTTCCCCACCGGGGAAGGGCAGCTGGGCCCCAGCACCTTGGGGCCTGAGACCCCTGCCAACCTGGGAGAGAACCAGAGCGGATGCAGATGGGGGGTGGGAGAGTGGGAGGGTGGGA